TCCAACATTACTCTCCAACATACTTTTCAGGTGACACGAGCTCGCTTGCATTACCACCCCATCTACCTTGTCCTACCCCTACTTTGGCTTCAACTCAACCCGCTTACCCCCAGTCATTTTAGAAAGATGCCGGGGGTAGCATTTTAATAATGCAACCCTCGATTTTCGAGTTTTTTCTCGATGTTCAAATGCCACCGTCTCTCGGGAATTGAATTTAGTATCAAGTAAAATCGATTATAAAATACGCGGTGAAAAGTCACTGTTGAGGGATTAATTTTTTTTGTTTGAAATAGATCTGGTTAAATATTCAACTATCGAAGGACCGGCAAGCTTGATAGGGAAATTTAAAATCTCAATGCCTCAATTTCGCAGCAGAATTATTTAAAAACTAATGAACAGGTAGAGAATTTTTTTATTTTGAATTTAGAATAAATAAAGATTTTTTGTCACAGAAAAAAAACAGAATAACTTTTTTCACGGGTAAATAATTAGAAATGTTGTGGAAATTTTATTCTGAACATACAAAATAAATAACAGAAATTATCTAAAGGACGATAATGCAGGCTTTTAAATAAAATAGTCGTATAAGTATGACCATTGGGGTCTGGGGGTTGAGGAAGACTGAAGCGGGCGTTAGTTTTCAAGGGCTTTGAAGATGAGGATGGGAAAGATGTGGAAAAAATTTAACGGATATACGAGAGTGCCTGTATGAAAATCGTAGCTCATGGAGGTGCTCATAGAGATTATAGCGCGCGTGACGTTTAGAAATAGCATCTGGTAAATGGGAGGGGGGCATGACGTGTGACCGTAGCTTACGGTATCGTTATCGTATATCGCGGGCCAAGTGTACACATTGTTCGCAATGTATTCTATAATCCTGTTACCCGTATTTTCTGGGAGCGCAAACCTCCAAGAGATAGAGAGATGACTCTGGTGTGGCTAATGTATGTACATTATTTTTTTAACTGTTGACGTAAAGCATATATTTGTAAGGAAGATGGAATGTAGTTACTCCTATTAATGTATAGTCGGAATAATAACCCGGGTCAAAAAATTTAGTCTACTTTAGGATAAATGAAAATTTTTAATATTTTAAATTTAATTTAATTTTATTATGTCGGTCTGCATCAAATACAGACAAAAATGTTGTTAAAAGTTCAAATACAGATCAATCAGTTTAAATTTTTCGACCCGGAAATATTTCAAATTAATTTTATTAATTTTTTCATTTCACGGGACTAGAGCTTATGACAAAAGAATATTTGTGGAAATTATCTTCAATTTAACAGTCTACATTAAAAAGAAAATAAAACTATAAATATACTTCTATAAGATACAAATCAAATAAAAAACCATTTTCTAATTTGATTTAAAATTTAAAAACACACTGCACAACAATCAACAACATCAAACACGCTAACAAAATGACTACCCGAGAAAAAATATTTATATATATTTATATATAAATTGGTTATATATGATTATATATGAAAAATGGCCAAATATAATCATATCTAATTATATATAATTATATATAATTATATATAACAATATTTAATTATAGATTTATTACATCTAATTAATTATTGGGTTAATTTTATGGATAGAGTATTTAATATGGTCCTACGCAATTCTGTGTAACTGACCAAAATGCAAAAAAAATATCTAGATCTAATTTTATGGCTATAACACCAGTGGTCACCCATCCAACTATTAACCCTACTCAATGCTGCTTAACTTTGGTGATCTCCGTGCGTCTTGAAGTTTCTGTTTTTTTTTTTTTTTAAAGAAGTTTATTTGCTTTATTTTAATTACATAAGTTTTACAATAAATATTCGGCTGCAAATCAACTTAAAAACTAGCCATTATATTATGTTTATTAATAAGATATTAGTCTCCGTGTGTGGAGCTACTCATATCTATTGTCTCATTGTCTCATATTATCTAAATATTTTGTTAATTAAATATGTATTGAGAAGTATCCAATTAGGATATATATTCTTGTTAGTTGAAGAGCGGTGGGAAAATTGCAAAAACCCTCGCTTAGCTTATCTTGAAGTTTCTGTCTGCTGTGCTGCTGTCTTAGACAATAATGATTCTATGATCTACTTAATGTATCATATGAGTTTATCATAAATATAATATAAAAATTGATTTTATAATATATTTGGATAGTCATAATTCATAATTTATTTATCTTACCGAATTTCATTATAATATAACACTTAATTAAATAATAAAATAAATAATGATTTCACTATTACGTAGTAGCAGAGCAGACAAAACATCTCATAGGAAATGTGACAAATTTTGTATTTCAGAATTATTTAAACGTAATTATAAACATCATTTTACACTTTTTGTGATTACCAAAAAAAATTTTTTTTTTCAAAGAAAAAATTTTTATGTATGTTAATTATATATAAGCATATATAATTATATATGGGACTATGTACAATCTTGCATAGCTGTATATTGCTCCATATATAGTCATATATAATTATATATAACATATACAATTCCATATATAATCATGGATGATTATATATACTTATAAAGGGGTGGGGGGGGGGGCAAAATGGGGTAGGGGGGGTAAAATGGGGTACCCCCAAAATTTCGTAAAAAAAATTTTTTTTTCCAAAAAGCTTTTTTAGCTTTCTAAAATATATTTTAACG